ATATATATATATATATATATATATTAACAATTTAAAATAAATAAATAAATAAAACTAACCTGCAGATCGGCGGTGGCTGTATCATTGGCGGGGGAGACGGTTGTGGCGTTGGCGGGGATGGCGGCTGTGGCGTCGGTGGGGGTGGCGGCTGTGGCGGTGCATCGCGGTGGATGGTGCTGTGCGTGTCGCGGTGAGTGGCGTCGCCGTAGGCCAACGGCATGGTGGCGGTGGGTGGCAACGACGGCGTCAAACGATCGAAGCAGACGGTGGATCGGAGCAGAGGGATGAAGATTTTAGACGGTGGGTGTTGAAGCGGTGAGACGATTTTGATCTGATCTAGGCGTGAGGTAGATCTAGGGTTAATATTAGGCAACCATTTCTATTAGAAATGGTTGCCTATTATAAAACAAGTTCTATTTTAAGGCAACCATTTCTATTAGAAACGGTTGCCTATTATAAATCAATTTTTTAAATAAATAAAAAATACAATGGGCAACCATTACAGCTAACAACGGTGGCGGATTATTGATAACTTATTTACAAAATTGGCACCGCGAATTTTTGGGCTAAGATTAGGTAACAATTCTTTCAACAATGGTGGCCTATGGTCAATCTTCTATGTTCAATTTTGTACTAGTGAACACCGAGGCTCTATTGGGCTGTGTGGCCCAAAAGTTTCTTTCAACAATGGTGGCCTAGGGTCAATCTTCTATGTTCAATTTTGTACTAGTGAACACCGAGGCTCTATTGGGCTGTGTGGCCCAAAAGTTTTAAAAAGATGGTGATTCAATTTGGACGGCCCGTCAAGCACTAGTGGGTAGAGGATGCACCAGCCCGTTATCCTTCCACCGCATAAAGGAGGAGGTTTTCAGCTCTGCTCTGTGAAGCCAGCCTCACGCGGTGCCCTCCAATCTAAGGACTAAGAAGTCTCCGCCTTTGCAAAGAATCACGGCACCACTCACGAGTGAGCGGAACGCCACTCCCTTAATGCTCTCACTTGGGTTACATGCTCGTGCTACCAAGCCTAACTTGGATAGTATACTAAAGAAAACAATTTTATTCTATCAGAGCCAAGTTTCAATCTTGGGACCTGTGGGTTATGGGCCCACCACGCTTCCGCTGCGCCACTCTGATTTGTTGAATGTTGAGCTATTATATATGTCTTAGAAAACACCTGCAGGTCAATCAATTGTTTAACCACAAAACACCCCATCAACTCTATCACAAATCTTTCAATTTCTCAGTCTTCACAACCACCCCTTGCTCTTTTTTGAACTTTGAGTGCTTGAGAATTCATCAATTAAGGACCTTTTGACTGCACCTGCTTCATATCCATCACCAGTCAGGTTTACTGGAACAGGTTGGAGAGGACTTTCAGCTTCATTGACATCAATTCATCCTAGACGTAGGCAATATGTTACAGTTAGGTAAACCACAGATTTAGAGACTAGCTTTTGGTAAAAATATAATAATTAAGATGTAATTACCTCATCTTCCCACAAATCATCTCCTGTATGTTCAAGCTCCAACTTCGAGCTTAGATCTTTATCCCTACCAAGCAACAACTCTAGGGCATGTAGTTCCAACATTTCAACATCATTTATGATCCTCATTACAGAGAATGCATTTAGTAGGTTTACAAACTATTCTCTTCGAAAAACAATTATGAAGATTAAGTTTAACCCAATCAAAGATTGAATCTCAGTAGGCACACCATTTTTTCCCTACAGTTCCAAAAAAATAAATTGAGCTAGTCTGCTTCTGTTTCAAATTGTAATTAAACAAATTGATACATACCTTTGTCTGCTTCTGTTTTAATTCTAGGGCAGTCATACCCAACAACTCATAGCATTCTCTGTCCCACATTACAAATGGAGCATTTCCATTTATATCTACCACCCTGATTTTAAGCCTATATCTCAAGATTCCATCTCCCCATGTCTTATCACAATGTTTGCAATAGAGGTACTCTTCCTTTGGCTCCAACTTCCTGTTGCATGACGTTGTCAGACATGACGGATAAAACCAATCACTACCATTGTCCACGAAAACTATCATTGCAGCTACCCAAAAGTCTCCAAACTGTTTTAGACAAAAGAAATTTATATTATGAACAAAAATCAAGTATTCTGAATAGAAGATGAGATCTGTAGAGTTTAGGAATTTGAATGTATACTTATTTCTTTTGATACACATCAGATATAGTTCTCAGTTCCAAATCACCATTGAGTGACACAGTATATGAACTGCCTGAGTTGAAATTGGACTGTGAAACTATACTCCTCATCGAAGTTTGTTCTAGGCACAAACTGGTAAATTACAAAAATTAAATGACACTTTTGAGTAATGGTCGAAACTATGTCTCTAATTTATTTATTTTTTTTAGCCTAGGAAATACATTTCCTTGAACTGCACAAACTCTGGGGTTTCTGGATTAAAGAGCAGTTGTGTAACATCATAGGATGAACAGATTTTCACATCACCACCTACATAAGTCAAAAATATATACATAGGTTAGGTAAAAACAGTC